TCGATTATGAAGAGGGTCAGATTCATTAGGCACTCTTCTTTTACTTGAAAAATACGCATGATCAAGTGAATGCCTCATCAGCTTCCAATTATTTTGCGGCTGCTTACTCTGTTCTTCCTCTACCTGTTTCTTGATTGTATCGTTTTTCGTCGCTACAGATACAAATAACAAAAATAAAAAAACTAGAATCACCAAAAACTTCTTAATTTGCATTATGTTGTTGAAAACAGAGACTAATATGAATGGCAAATGAAAGGAAGTTTGGGTAGAAAAAGAAACAGAGGTGAGAAGTATTTTAAGTACAGAGTTTTACTTTTGTACATTAATAAATGTAAAACTTGTTTTGTTAACTAACTTCAAAGAATAACATATAATATAACACCAAAAGGTGTGATGGGATAATTAGGATAAGTCACGTAAATCGAAAAAAAGGTGTGTATAGAAATTATACTCCTATATACATGGGTAAAAGATTATTTATGTACGCACAGACTTCAAAGATAATAGATTCATCTATATTTAATATTTTTTTTATGCGAAGAATGATTTTTTTAAAAAAAATTATGAAAATTAATAGATATAAATTCACCACTTCAAGAATATAATGGGTTTAATGCTCAAAATCTATAATATTGAATTCATAAAGCAAAAATCTTAAATTCACCTATGTTATATGTATATATATTAGTAAATCTTAAGCCATCTTTACAAAATTAAGGGGCTCATTTGGTTAGTGAATATGTTATCCCGAGATTAGTTATTTCAGGATTGTTATCTCATCCTTAGTGTTTTAGATAAAAATGACACCAAAATCACAACGCGACTTTATCCCAAACCAAACAAGGGATTAACTCATTCTAAAATTAACTTTGAGATAAATTATTTTCTTATCCCTCGTACCAGATGAGCATCGAGTGTTATAGTCCTGCACAAGGGAGACAACACACGATGGGAAGGTTTTCCTTATGTTTTTCTTTACTTTATGGGTAAAAGGCCAAATGGGTAAATACAATATTGTTGTGTTTCACGAGAACTTTTTTACTAAAGAAAGTTTTTCGCTTCTCTCGCTTTCAGTCCCTTAAAATAAGGCCAAAATTGCGTATGATAACAAAGCATATGGCTTCTAGTGCTTTATTTTTGTCTGCTTTGGAAAGTAGTCAACTTATACTTTTTATAGCTACTTCTGCAATGCCCAGATATTCTACTACTAATGGTGAACTCTTCAAAGCATGACAAAGGTTATGTAAAGTCTTCAATCTTTGATGATGAGAAATCTGAATTCTGAAATTTTGGGGAAAAAGTATTGAATTGGCTGAATAATCTGAATATATATGTGGTGCAGTATATATTCGATCGACTAGTCAATTCACTTGCCAGGAGGAACAGTAATGTGACAATTAAACTTGAGAGTACAACTAATTTTAACTTGGAATTGTTTGTGTTAAAGAATAGAGGAAACTACCCCGGAAAACTTGATCAAAAAATAGCTAAGTTTCCGTCACTAACCTTATTTCGAATGATCTGAATCAACTCCAAAAGAGATAAAATGTCATTCCTAAACTCTCATTGCCCGCGCCTAAGACTAAATATCTGGAGCTAGACAATGTAAGTCAAGGAAGGGCCCAACATCAGAGATAAGGAATTGGGTTGGGCCTAGCTCTTACCATGTTAAAGAAAGGAAAATTTTCATAAACAACAAACATTTAGCATTAAATAGAATCCCTTAGCTACACTTTTTGCCTCGTACGTAATTCACTCACAAAAGCTAATTTATAAGTCAAGGAATGTGTAAGAGTCAAGACCGTATAAGGAGATCAAGTTCTCCAATGCCCATTAATGTGGAACCCAACAACCCCCGCATGCTCAAGACCGGATAATTGGAGCTTAGTTAATACAGGGGGAGGGGCAAGAGCAACATTGAAAATAATTAATTAGGGTGAGTTTGAATCTAACACCATATTAAAGAAATGGATTTTGGTTTAACTTAATCACAAAAATTAGCTTATGAAGAAAAAATTATATCCAAAAGCATATAAGGAGATCAAATTCCCTAATGTCCACCGTTGCGGGACTCAACACTTTGTGAAAAAAAAAAAGAAGAGAAAATCACTTTAAGGTGAACTTACCCATACAATTTCCCATTCTCTTAAAATGAACTCACATACTATATTTTCCTTCAATTTTGTTATTATTTGCTATTTTTTAATTTTGATTATAGTATGTGTTATTGCTATTATTCTCATCTTTACTATGTTCATAAATGCTTCAATATGTATTTTCTTTTTTCTTACTTTAATTCTATTGGGCTGGTGAAGAAATGGGCCTATTGGACAAAGTTTTCTTTTGGACATTGACCATTGTCAAGTCTAGTACTAGTAAGTAGTCCAAGTAAGTTCACTGTTCAAGCAAATAAAGCACATATATATGATGATCAAAGTATAATTAGACACATTAGCTATATGAAATGTTGTGTTTGACAAATTCTAACTTCATAAACGGCATATTCAAAATCATTTCACAGTGGATAAACATATAAAATTTTAAGGGGTAAACAACATAAATCTCACTAGTTTAGATTCTAATTACAAGTATTCACGATAGTTTTGAATATTACTTCCTTTACCACATTTCGTTAGCCGAATACATGTTTCTTAATTTGACGGATATATGTATTAGAGGAATTGACAAAACATGATACATGCTTAATTAAGGACTCCAACTAAAATAATCACTCCTTTAATAGATTTTAAATATATCTTGTCTAACAACTTCTAAAAATTCAAAAATATTTTAATTTCTTCCATTTATTTTTTAGCAACAAAAAATTGAAAAAAAAATATATTTTTAGAAATTTGAATTTTGAGATTTTTTATTTTCAATTTTCATGTTTAGAGAACAACATGTTTCTCGCACTCTAGTTGTTTGTTACTTTGTTAAATAATCTGATAAAAGTATATTGTTGTTTTTGAACTAAATACAGACCTTATTTGAAAATCTTATAAATAAAAATCATTAATTAACTGAATTAGGATACATGCTTTTTACTAATGTATTTGAAGTATGTATCTGATTCGTGCATCTAATTTTCTTAGATACATTTCATTAGGTGTATCTGCTATATACGTGTATCTGATACATTACATGTAGCATATTGCAGATACATGTATTTGAAATTTATTTATGTATCTGAAGTATGTATCCAAAAAATTTGTAAATGTTGTAATTTCATAAAAATGTAATCTACAACGATCTAGTTGAAGTATGACTAGATACATGACAGAACCGTCTCAGATACACAAAAGAAAACACACTAGATCACGACAGAAAAATCTCAAATAACATGCTCATATGCATGATAGAAAACAACTCATATATATTTAATAGAAAATACATATACATTTAATAAATAAACAAGATACATAAAATATTTTGATTAGATACATGACAAAATCATCTCAGATAAACTGAATGAAACATACGGCCTACCATTTCATTACAAAACTTTTACATACTCTTTTTTCGTATGAAAATATTAAAACAACCACTCCTGCTGCAAAACCATACTACCTATAATTTATCTTCTTTCTTTCTTTCCTCCAGTTTTACTACCATCACCATTTTATTTTTCTGTTTAATTTTAGATACCGTTGGCGAAGGAAATTGGGGGAGGTAGATGAGAGAGATATTTGTTGATGAAACAAGAATCGTTTTTGATAGATATTCTGAAGAAATTATGAGTTGAGAGGATGAAGGAAGAGAGAAAATATGGTGGGGGGGAGTTATTGTTGGCAGAGGAGATCCAGGGAGGTTGAATTGTTAATGTCTCTTTAATTAAGAAATTTAAATTTTAAGATAATTATTCAATATCATATTTATGAGATTTGTGTATCTGATTTAACTTTTTATAATAAATGGTATAATCATTAAAAAGTGGTATTATGAGTAATATTTTTAAACTGCAGGTAAAATGTATATATATGATAGTTAATTATGTCTAATTATGTAGTTTTCCGTTGGATGGGAGTTTAAAAACAATATCTTAACCCAAAAAATTCTTTTTTTTTCTCTTTATTGTTAAAAGAATAAATAGTTTTTTTCTAACTGTATACACACCTTTTATATGAAAAGGAAATGATATAAACATTGTGCCTCTCCGACAAGATACCATGCAAAATAAGATCGTATTTTTACCTTTGAGATGTTTTTTCATTTAATCGTATAATTTGTCCTTCAAATGAGCTGGTCTTTATTATTTGTCCTTAGAAATTGAACTTATGTCTAGCAGGATATAATTCTTAAATGGAGTGAGACACAACTCATGGGATATTACGATGTGAAAAATAGAAATTTCTAGCTGCAAAAAAGTTGTTTGCCTTGAAGGACAAAATTTAAAGAGCAACACAAATTAGGTATTAAAGTGCAAATGACCCATGTTTTTGGGAAAATTACACAGTTAAGCAAACATATACTGGTTAATTAGTCATCATAGCTATAATTTTAGTTAATTATCACTCGCGACCAACATTCAGGGATAATTACACGGGCTGGGGTTTCGAGTTTGTATAATTTGCACGTTTGTATATTATAATTTGTATAACTTTTATATAATGTAATTTTGTATAATATACTTTGTATAACTATTTAAAGTTAAGATGTTAGTGTTTGTATAAATTCGTTATTTCGAGTTCATACAAAAATAACTCAATTATACAAACATACCCGTAAATTATACAAACTCACCCGCGAATTATACAAATGAGACATCTTAAACTGTAGTCACAAACTGTAAATATGCAAACTATAACTATAGAACATAATTAAGTTTATTATAGGGACTTCCCTATGTTTTTTAACTTGAATTTCAGATTTAGCAGGCCCAAAATTTTGTACAAACGTTAAATGGGCTGGCCAGGAAATTCCAATAGCCCACGAAAGGCCCAAATCAAAACTTGCAAATCACCGAGCTCATTGATGAAGATGACGTATGCTACGGAAAATCACATCTATTTGTAACGTCTCCTTCATACATCTCTTTCCGTTTCACCCTCTCTAAAATCTCGGAGAGAGAAAGCACATGGTGTTTGTTTCCTCCGGCGTCCATTCGGCAAAATGATCTCTCTCACCTCGTCGGAGCTCAACTACCTGGTTTTCCGGTACCTTCAGGAATCAGGTTTTCTTCTTTTCTCTCTGTTCGGCTGCTACCATGTGTTTTCCTAGGGTTCAATTAGTGTTTGCTGCTCACAATTTATATCGTTTACTTGTATCCGTGTGTTTCCATGAGGAAATGATTTTTTTTTCGATTTTGAACTTCCAGTTTGACTTAGGTTTATAGGTTTGGTTATGATATACTCCGTTTGCTTTGTTTTATATTATTCTCGAGCGCTTATGTAACGCTCCCTCTCCTACCAGCTGGTTTCGCGATTGGTGTTTATGCTTACTGAAAGTTGATTGAACAATTTTAAATCTGACAGCAATTTATGTTTTTAGTGTTAAATTTTGGATATTTTGGAGATACAGGAGTACTGTTAGTTGCATGTATCCTTGTGTAAGATTCCCTCTGGTACCAGCTCTTTTGGCGTTTTTCGCTCAAAGGAAGTTAATTTTAACAATTTTTCGGAGTAGATGTGACCGGAGCAATTTATGTTCTTAGTGTTAAATTTGGATTTTTTGAAGATATAGGAGGAGTACTGTTAATTGCAGTTATCCTTGCTTGGCAAACAAATGCATCTTAACATTGTTTAGTTAAACTTAGTTTGAATCTCGAGAAGAAAAAAGTGTGGAATGTTTTAAGACGGAGGGAGTAATTTCTACTTTTGAAACAATGCCATGAAAGATGGATTAACTTCGAGAAACTGATAGTTTTCAAGTTCTAATACCTGAAAACTGCTAAAAGTTGTATTTCCATGTTTGTGACTGGCTGGAATCTTTGGATTGTCTTCCATCTAAGTTTGGTCTTTTGTTATGATGTTGATTTTAAGATTGTAAGTTTGTGGTGATCTGTCCACAATAATGAAGAGTTTTGTATTCAGGTAGAGATAAGAACACCTATTGTTGCTAAGCATCAGGTCAGCTAAGAAAATACTTTGGAAAGGAGGATCTTTATAAATAATAATCTTTAGGGTTTTATGTTCATCCCCAAGAGAGAGTTTTTAGTATCTTGGGTCAATAATTCAAGGAAATGGAGAGATTAACGATGATGTCACACATCACATTGGAGTAGAGTGAATGAAATTGAGGCTCACATCCGGTGTCCTATGTGATAAGAATGTGCCACCGAGACTTTAAGGTAAGTTCTATAGAGTGATTGTTAGATCACCTATGTAGTGTGGCGTAAAGTGTTGGCCAGTTAAGAATTCACATGCTCAGAAGATGAATATAGCACAAATGAGAATGCTCAGTTGCATGTGTGAGCACACTAGTAAGATAAGATTCGGAGCAAAGATATACGGAACAAAGTGATAGTGATCTTAGTGGTGGACAAGATGCGGAAAGGGAGTTTGAGATAGTTCGGGCATGTAAAAATGAACAGTACAGATGCCCCAATTAGGAGGTGCAAGAGATTGGCAGTGATAGGTCTAAGGAGAGGTAGAGGTAGACCAATGAAGAATCAGAGAGAGGCGATTAGACATGTCATGACACATCTTCAAAGTCCTCAAGATAGTAAGCATGGAGGTCGAAGGTTAGGGTAGAAGGTTAGTATGTAGTTGAGCGATTTTTCTCTTTCCTATGGGCAGGAGAGCATGCCTCTAGCTTAGAGCACCATGCTCCCTTGTCTATTCATCAGTATCATGTTAATATTCTATGATTATCTTATTCTTCAAAGTCTAGGGTCTTTCGGAAACAATCTCTCTACCACCACGAGGTAGGGGTATGGTCCGCGTTTACTCCACCCTCCCGAGAACCCGCCTATGAGATTTCAGTGGGTTATGTTGTTGTTGCTTTATTATCTTATTCTTCAATTGTAATACTGTTGTTGTTGGGTTATTTTTGGCTATCAATGCTTTCCCTTTCTACCATAATTTTTATTCTTGTATTTCTCTTACCCGTTTTTGAAAATACTTTTCTTGAGCTGAGGTCTATCAGAAACAACAGAAACAACCTCTCTACCTCACACAAGGTAGGGGTAAGGTTTGTGTACACCCACCCTCCCCAGACCCCACTTGTGGGATCATACTGGGTGTGTTGTGGTTGTTGTAGGGTCTTATGTTCTTCCAATACTGAGGACTGAGGAGACACTCACACTTTTTTTTGGATTTTTCTTTCTCCTAACCGATCTTGCATACATTGCTCTAATGGATGGGCATTTTTAGACAGATTGGTGATGCCTAACAAAGAAATCTGCTCTACTGCTCTACTATATCCTCCAATTGCACTGCCTCTGTCCCAAATATGCACATGCAAGACAATCTCTCTGAGTCTATCCCCACTCCATATATTAATGAATTCTTCTTCTAGGGTGCGGTAGACGGGAATTTTCACTGGAAAATGTGTTTAGAAAGGACATGTCTCCCCTACCGCAATGTTTCTGGTTTATCCAATGTGGATTACTGTGGAACCACAAAATGTCGGTTAGTTAGGGATGGTATCTTAACTGCTTAAAGACACCTCTTTCTCAGTTGATCTCGTGATGTTCCTTTCAGCACAAAGGTGTTCTGTCTAAATTTTTCAGGCCCATCAGACTGAACTTACATGTGCCAGTTGTGATTTTCATTTAGAAGGAAGTAGTTGTCCTGGGCCTCTCTCTTGTTTCTCCTCCATGACTTTGATTTTTCTTCAATTTTTTTCTGATTTGATTAGATTAATTTGACACATCCATTTCTTGTAACTTTGTTGCTACAATGGACATATTTGGTAAAATGAACCCTTAAAATGCTAGGTATCTTAGGTGATCATTCTTATATCTTCTGTTTATGTATTCATTTCAATTGAAGTTCTCTTAATATTTCTGGTTTCATAATCTTAGTAACCACTTTTTGTTGTTTAGGGCTGTCATCTTGAATTTTCTGGTTTTCTGACTTCTTTGCAGGGTTCACACATTCAGCATTTGCTTTAGGATATGAGGCAGGGATCAATAAGAGCACAATAGATGGAAATTTAGTTCCTCCTGGTGGTCTGGTTACCTTTGTACAAAAGGGAATTCAATATCTTGAATTGGAAGCAAATTTGAGCACTGTAAGTGCAGTTTATATCATACTTAGATGTTTGAGTCCTGAGTTTAAAGTAGTTTGAGAACTTCCAATTGACTGATAATAAGGCATGCAGGATGACACAGATATGGACGAAGACTTCCAGTTTATACAGCCCATTGATCTTATCACCAAGGATGTATATGAGCTACATAAAATAATAAAAGAAAAAAAGGAAAAGCTTCGGAAAGATAAACCTAGGGGAAAGGATAAGGATATCAATGACCGTGAAACGGAGCATGAACGGGAGCCTGCTAGAGAAAGAGAGAAGGAAAAACAGCAGAAGGAAAAAGAGCGAGAGCGGGAACGGGAACGGGAGCGGGAGCGAGAGCGAGAAAGAGAAAGAGAAAGAGAAAGAGAAAGGATTGAGAAGGATAAGGAGAGAGAGAAAAATAAGGACAAAGAAAAAGCACGTGAGGATCTCATACCACGTGAGGATCTCATGGACGCGAAACCCAATGGAGATAAAGAGATTGTTAGACATGAGGAGAATGGAAAGGCTGGAGGTATCATATTCTTCATCTTCTTACTTGCAAATATTTACAAACTTTACTGCAAGACATCCTGGAACATACACGCATCTGATACATTTGGTCTGAACTTTATTAATTGTGTTAAAGCATAAAGTTCCTACTCACCTGACTTTTTTGAGTTTCAAAATAGATCCAGAGCCCATGGAGATTTGCACAAGCTCAACCGCCTTGCCATGTGAAATACTGAGTTCTGATTTACTGATTTTGGAAGGCCATACATCAGAGGTGCAATTGGATACTATCTACTGCTCCTAAAATCAGTATTACTCTCATTTAACGATTTGATTAATTTTGTTGATATCATCATGACTATTTTTGTTGTTCTTAAACTTATGCAGGTTTTCGCATGTGCCTGGAGTCCAGACGGTTCACTTCTTGCATCTGGGTTAGCACCTTAGTATTTCTTTGATGCTGCTATTAAATAGGAACCATTATATTCCATTTTTATTCTCCTCTCCCCATTTTGCGAATTTTAGTTCTTTGGAGATGATCACTGTTCTTTTTCAACGCCTAGTTGTTAGTATCTAATTCATCTCACAAATCCCTTTTAAACCTCTTACACTCTGGACTACTTTAGACTTTATATCGAGTATTCACATTTGTGTGCTAGATGCATTTACCTGGTTCATACATCAAACATTTACTAGTGGGGAATATGATTTAGTCTTGTTAGAGCACTTCTAATATTATTATTAGTATTATTTTATTATTTTGTATATATTTATCTTTATTTATTATGATGATGACATCAATTGAGCTTAAAGGGAGAAGTGGGGATTCATATAGCCAACTCCAACTTGTTTGGGATTGAGGCATAGTAGTTGTTGTATACATCAAATGCTTACTATAGAGGAGGATGTCTTATGGAGAAGATCTATGTTTATATCGTATAATCATCCCTTTTGTGAATGAAATACCCTTCATCAAAAAAAATATAGTATAACTAGTAAACACCACCCTTGGGGGAAAGGCATACAGTAGAGTCAATCTAAAAGGATTTTTTCCAAATGTAGAAATTTTTGTCCCAGAAACACTCAGGTATATATACGTGATGGGGAAAGGGCATGTTTGTCTTATCAAATCAGCTAGTCTTGCTATTTAATAGGGGGGAATAAATTTTAAATTGCTATTGCCTATACACAGATTGAGTAATGTGTCGTACATGGTTGGAGATATTTCTGAGGACAACCATTTGACCCCTTAAAGCATGCCTGCTTTTCAGCATGTGACTTTTCAACATCTGAAGGCTTTATTTTACGCTGTATACTGAATCAGTTCATTGACGGCAATATCTTTGCATTGAGAATTTTGTCTATGATGTCTCTTCGTGAGATTATCACCCTCCTTCAGATTTCTTGACTACATTAGATCTCTTCTTTTGGTTCAAGTTCTGTGCTTTGTCACTTTAATGCTACCATTGACTTGTATGTTCACAGTTAATTGTATCGGCATCTAAACAAATAGTTCATTTTGAAATGAGACTATACTGCACCCAAGTCTTGAACAATTTGACTTACTAATAATCAAGTTTTGAATGTCATTATTATGTGGTATATTTCTCGTTGTACATTTCTTGAGTTCAGTGTTCTAAACTGCAAAATCTTTTGAACAGGGTATGCTCACATCTAAAGCTCAAAACCAGCCTTAGATTTTTATTAGGATTTTACCTGTTCTTACAAGTTACAGCTAACTATATGATATCCTGAACTCAGGTCTGGAGATTCTACTGCTAGGATTTGGACAATTGGAGATGGTACTTGTAATTCCCACATGCAAAATGGGCCTGTAAATGTCATGGTATTAAAACATTTTAAAGGTCGAACAAATGAGAAGAGCAAGGATGTTACTACACTTGAGTGGAATGTAAGGTTTTTTTAGAGATTGTTACTGGCTGTCCTCCTTATTTTTCTTTTCTACTTTCTGTATCTATGACTTCTTTCTTGTGTAGGGCGAGGGACACCTACTTGCAACAGGTTCTTATGATGGGCAAGCAAGAATTTGGAACCGAGAGGGTAAGCAATTTTCTTTTAATGTTTTCTTGCTGTTGAACACAATGGAGTATGGGGAAATGCAAAAGTAAAGTTGGTACTGACGATATTGAGTTTATGAGACACCATTGAATGGTAGGAGATGCAATCACATGTTTTAATGGGTTTTTAAAATATTTTTGGGGGAGGATGTTGATTATTTTATTATTATAGCACCAAGAGAGGGTGCTGCTTGACAGAATGTGCAAACAACAACTTCTACACCTCAGTCTCAAACAAGTTGGGGTCAACTATATGAATCCCCACTTCTGAGTTCTACAGTATACATGATAACTTCCATAGCTGAAACTGAGAAGCTCCAACCTTTCTGGAATTGCTAGCATTTCCCTGTGAAGGATCGGTCCTCTTGAAATCACTTTGCTACTGTAGTCAGCATCAGTAAATCACTTTGGTACTGTAGTCAGCATCAGTGCAATTCATCCCTCAGTTTTCCTTTTCTTATTCAACTTCCCTTTTTAGAGGGAGAGTCCTCGTGTCCAGCTATCTAGAATGCCTGCAGTTTCCCCCCTGAAGAACTATGACGGATCACGAATTTGATTCTAAAAGGCATGTGGCAGACCCAATTTATTATCCACCAATTTCCATAGAATTTTAAACATCTACCACCTTAAAAGGATGGTTGTATATATATATATATATATATATATATTAGCTGCAGAAGCTCCCTAACTTTTGCTACTCAATAAAGGGTAGCCTCCTGCCCATTAGTTTTCAGCCTTGAGAGGTCTTAAACCACTTTCAAGACAAAAAAGATGATCAGTTTCAGGAGGTTTCTGCACGCTAACGGAAGTATAGTTGTAAAAGTATACTAGTTATAGACGAAAGTATAGTTGTAAAAGTATACTAGCTATAGACGAAAGTATAGTTGTAAAAGTATACCAGCTAAGACGAAAGTATAGTTGTAAATTGTAAAAGTATACTAGTTATAGACGAAAGTATAGTTGTAAAAGTATACTAGTTATAGACGAAAGTATAGTTGTAAAAGTATACTAGTTATAGACGAAAGTATAGTTGTAAAAGTATACTAGTTATAGACGAAAGTATAGTTGTAAAAGTATACTAGTTATAGACGAAAGTATAGTTGTAAAAGTATACTAGTTATAGACGAAAGTATAGTTGTAAAAGTATACTAGTTATAGACGAAAGTATAGTTGTAAAAGTATACTAGTTATAGACGAAAGTATAGTTGTAAAAGTATACTAGTTATAGACGAAAGTATAGTTGTAAAAGTATACTAGTTATAGACGAAAGTATAGTTGTAAAAGTATACTAGTTATAGACGAAAGTATAGTTGTAAAAGTATACTAGTTATAGACGAAAGTATAGTTGTAAAAGTATACTAGTTATAGACGAAAGTATAGTTGTAAAAGTATACTAGCTATAGACGAAAGTATAGTTGTAAAAGTATACTAGCTATAGATGAAAGTATAGTTGTAAAAGTATACTAGCTATAGTATCTAACTTGGCCCCTGGATTTGCTTCAATGGCAAAGATAGTATAGCGCGAGATGTGTGGTAGGCGCACTTCAGTGGTCAAATCCTATTGGTTGTGAAGTCTGATGTACAAGAGGAGAAACTAGATGGCGAACCTATTATCCACCAAATTTCAGAACTGATATCAGAAAATTTCATGGTTATAACAAAAAAGAATCTAACTTATGCTACTTATTATTGGATGGTGGCTCCTCCTTCACATTAGTGTTTAACTGTGAGAGAGATGTGAATTTTTTAGACTAAAAAGAAGACTCTATCAGGAGGTTCCCAGAGACCAATTTATTTAAGGGTATGGTCTAATGGTCAATGAGGTGGAATGAAAACCATGGGAGATCAAGGTTTAAATCTCACTGGAGGCAAAAGATAGTAGGTGGTTTTTTCTGTTTGTCTAAGCCTGGTGAGTAATTGTGCTGGTGGGAGGTAGCAATTGTCCAACGGAATTATCGAGGTGCACATAAGCTGACCTGGACATCACCTTATTTTTACTAGGTCAATATGTCACTGGCTAATAGCAATGCTCCTGTCAATGCCAAGTCATTTGGGCAACTGCTGGTAAGCTCTTCCTTGGCCTCTTTGAGGATTAATTTGATAGCCTCCTACAAGACCCAAAAGTGAAAGATATATGGGTATTATGGGGTTCCTCACTTTGATCAATTGGTCAAAGATTGGTAACAATAGATCTCCCTGTCTCAACATCTTTGAGCACCATGCATTCCACCTCTCCACCCCCAGAACACTCGAAGAAAATGAAGAAACAAAATAAGTTCCTGGTAGAACACGAACCAAAGAGTGTTTTTAATTATGACTGTGATATGTTTATAAGTATATTTTATGTAGTGGTACTGGGAGCCGAAGGCCATCTTGTGTAGCAAGTATAGCAGAGTGCTCAAGATAAATAATTTTTATGATCCTTACTGGTTTGCACAAAATGAGCTAATCCTCTCTTAAAGGATCCTGCAGGCAACGATTGCAACATCTAAGTTTTTGCCAGCCTGATAAAAAACACAGTTGTAGAAATGGCATCTTCTTAAGCAACCCGAGATTTCATTATATCACTTTAGTTTCCCCATTAACTCACTTACTTCCCTTTTTCCACAATTGGAAAATGTTACCCCGTTATCGACTCTTCTTAGTCATGGTTTTGTCAATTTCAGAATATGTTAACAGTTATCAAACTGGTTTCTTTTGTCCAAACGTTTGAACTTCTGTTGAGGTCTTTCCTTGTTTATTGTGTGGAGCACCTGTCTTGTCTTATGGCACCAAATGTCTACTGTTGATATTCATGATTGATCTTACGAGTCACTTTATATCCAGGGGAACTGGTAAATACACTAATCAAACATAAAGGGCCAATCTTCTCTTTGAAGTGGAATAAGAAAGGTGATTATCTCCTTAGTGGTAGTGTAGACAAAACCGCAATTGTATGGGATGTAAAGTCAGGCGAATGGAAGCAGCAATTTGAATTTCATTCAGGTGCTTTTCCCTGTTCTTTTTTACTGTTGAACTTTTCCACTATGATACAGTTTGCGTTTCTCTTTCTTGTCTAACCATTTATATATAATTGTATTCCAGCTCCAACTCTTGATGTTGATTGGCGAAACAACAATTCCTTTGCGACTTGCTCCACTGATAACATGATTTATGTTTGTAAAGTTGGAGAGAGTCGGCCTCTCAAAGCTTTCTCGGGACATCAGGTGGCATTCCCGTATTCTTTTTTGATCGGAAAAGTTGTTCCATACTCCCTCCGTTCACTTTCACTCATACATTTGGACTTGGCACACGTATTAAGAAAACAATAATTGACATGGCTATTTTATCACACTATATTAATTGATGTTTAGTATTAGGTCTTGAAAAATGATTTGGAGAATAAGTGATTAATGCTAAGGGTAAAACATGGAAAAAATAATTGTCTTTTTTTGGTATGTTAAAAGTGACAAGTAAAAGTGGAAATCTATTTTTGGAATAGTGGACAAGTAAAAGTGAACAGTGTGTGTATTTGGTTACTGATGCCAATATATATTTTATTGGAGCTGGTGTGCTGTGCACCTTTGTGAGGGAAAACAGGAGGGCGAGGAGCTCAAAAAAGATCAACTCTCTTGAGCTCTGTGCTCATCACGCCATACAATGTTCTCATAATGTTTCAGACAAAAGCCTAATTGTGAAAGTTATCCTAAAATATGTTTACCTCTATTGCCTTGGTTGAGTTACCTGATTATTAAGACACAGCCTGTATTTATTCTATTGCTATATGCCTTGTTGCTCATGATGTTTTAACTTGTAGTTACACATGGTGTAACAAGGGTGATAGGCTAAAGAAACTTATGACCCCTCTGGCCATGTAAAAAAATGGTTGGGCTGCCAGAAGATTTCTCAAGCAAATGCATAATCATGCAACTGTGCACAAGAATATCTTCAACAATCATTTCCTTACCTTTTACTTGGAATTTCATCTTATGAGTTGTGGTTCTAATATTTTGTGTTCTAGAATACATACTATTTTGCGAGTTTAAGTCCTATTCAAATGCTAACTTTTAACATGCTAGATTGTAGGAATGCAATTTTCAAGCACTCTCTTTGTGAGTGTTGTTAAAAGTTTCCATCTTGTTACTGCAGAGTGAAGTCAATGCAATCAAGTGGGACCCCTCAGGCTCCTTGTTGGCGTCATGCTCTGATGACACCACAGCTAAGGTAATTGCTAACGTACACTCTCATAAAATTAATAGCTGGAGAAGGTTCCTCCACACGTTTCAGAAAATTGCTGACTAGGGCATTCCTATTACCTAGTCTGCACTAATTGCACTCATATAGTTATCTAAATTCAGAATGCAGTTATCACTGATTAGCTGATACAAATGTGTGTACTTTTAGTTTTCTTCTGATAATTTTGCTCATATCATATTTTGTTTCTTTTAGTGATAAATTTGTTTTCTGATAATCAATATGTCCTCTCTTAACCTCATAGAAAAACCATGTCTCAATCCCATGCTTGTGGGGTCCACTATATCCATTGTGCTCTATCTTGGACTTGTTTCGTTTCACGGTGCAATAATTTGTCCTTTTAGGACAAATTTGTTCTCTCAAGCTAAGGATTCTCTACATCTCACACCAGTTCCTTGCTGTCGTACACCTTTAGCATTTCATGAAAAAAAGAAGTTATCATCACAAAACATAAATAAATAAAAATTGCATTTCGACCTGGATTCCTGAATGCTAAATTAATAATCCCCAAGCACATTCCAGAACTTCAGTTCCTTCTTTATATAAAATATTTTTTAGTAGAAGAAGAGATTGCATGGAAGGTGATTCACATTCACACTTTAAGATAAGATTTCAAATTTATTGATCCTATGAATAACTGTTGATTGATGTTTTGTAAAATTGGTGGTGGATGACTCTTATCCCCTGTGCAGATATGGAGTGTGAAACAAGATACCTGCTTGCATGATTTCAGAGAGCATGCCAAGGTGCAGCATATAAGTTTATATATACATATACAAACTTCTCTTTTGTTTGATTTGTGTAATCGGATGACACACCAATTAATTAAGATGTTCAATTTTCTAGGAGATCTATACCATCAGATGGAGTCCATCTGGCCCTGGTACGAGCAACCCAAATCAACAGTTGTTGCTGGCAAGGTAATTATGTTAACCCTTAGGGATTTCTCAGTTATCAAAACCCTATTGCCACAGATGATTCTTTGCATGAGCTACTGTTTCTAGCATAATTGTCTGTCACTTGGTAACCTCAAGGCTCTCCTTCCTATCATATCTCGTCCTATGATTGTATTATAATTAGTGGGTTAAGGGATGACCGTTCTCTATGTTGCGTAGTTTTTGTTTTCCTCCTTGTACTGAGTTATCCTTGTTAATCCGTGGCTGTTCTACTTTTACCACTTGAAGCTTGTTTTCTTCTCAGTGATTCATGGTGAAGATGGCAAGTTAACTATTCAAACTATTAAACCAATTAACCCCCTCTTATCCTCGAGATAGCCTTTCAAATTGAGTTCAATTCTACTCTTATTTTTCTACTCCTTAAAAGGTAGTTATTTAGTATTGGAATGAAATGGGCTAGAACCCATTTGGATGAATGATTTAGATGGCCGAACTCAACGACTAGATTGGGACTGAAGCATACATGGTCGATTTACCTTTCTTTTTTTTTCTCTTTTAAAGCATGGGGGAAGATAGCTTCCTATTAACTCCTCATTACACTTCTTCTATTTCATAGAGTGACAATATCTCCAGAAATATATGATGTGCATATTAGGAGACTCTATTATTGGCCCCTACTCTTGCCTTCTTAATGCTGTCCCTGCAATTTTCTTCAATATGTCCTTATTTAGCTATCTGCATGTAACATTGTCTATTAAATAGCTTAGGTTTGTCCGATTTTGCTTCATGTTCTACATCCCTTCACACTCTTGAGGAATAACCCGAATATCAGACAATGAGTACCTTATTTTGTGGTTTCTTCACTCTTATATTTCTTGTGCCTGTTTTTTCATCCAAACTTTTAATTTCTTGTGCAGTGCTTCTTTTGACTCCACAGTGAAGCTTTGGGATGTTGAAATTGGCCGTCTCGTCCACAGCTTGAATGGTCATAGGTAATGGATGTAATTTTCTTGTTGCTTATTACGTTTTCCATGAAAAATGCTGTGAGGTGATCACACAATCTCATAGAAGAAGTCATTGTTATATTACTAGTGGGACAAAAATAAACTCCTAATGTGGTGATTTTTTTCGTTTTGCTTGGTTGAACACTTGAACTAATGATTTCTTTTGGTTATTTTTATTACTGGTTTACTATTATTTACTTGTAGGAGAGTGCCTGAAGGATAGCATGGAAAAGCTAGACAGTTTCTCTTGTCTCCGTCTTTAAATATTTCTAGTATTCTTGTTATGTGACTGGATATCTGTTAGTACTCATTGGGGTCTCTTCGATTTTAAACCCAGGGATCCTGTTTACTCTGTCGCATTTAGCCCAAACAGTGAGTACTTGGCTACCGGATCATTGGATAGATGCTTGAATATATGGTCTGTGAAAGACGCCAAGATCATAAAAACGTACAGTGGAAATGGTGGAATCTTTGAAGTGTGCTGGAACAAGGAAGGCAGCAAGGTCGCAGCTTGTTTTGCAGACAATGTGGTGTGTGTCTTTGATGTTCGGATGTAGGGTTGCAGAACAAACATGAAAAAGATAGAGTTGAACAAACATGCACTTGTAACAAGCAACGCTTGATTGGTGGCAAAAGTGTGTTTGGTTGACGCATGTAGAATTGTAGAACAGTTGATATTCAACAAATCAGAATTTGTAGCGTGTTGTAGATATGCAGATAGGATCATGGTACTGACCTAGGTTTAGGTTTTGGTACAGCTGAAGCTGTAAATTACAGCCATTGTACTGTGTTGAAAGTGAGGAAGCTGCAGCGGCAGTGACTCTTCTGTCACAACTTATTTGTTGCCCAAAATGTTGATATCAAGTTACATTAATTGTATTTCTCGCCAGTTTCATGTTGATGTTCTACTGCTAACACCGTCGGAGACTCGAGCAGGTTTGCCACCCTCTACTGCAAACCCAATATGACTATGAGATAGGGATTGGGTTAGAACAGTATACAGGCAAAATAGTTTTCACCTATATGGATTTTCCCCCTTGCATTATGCCCTATCTTGCATATCTTTTGTGACAACTTCCTTTAATGTAATTTTAGGTCTCTTTTTAAAACCTTTACTTACTATAGGTTCACAGCAACGGATTGGTGCATTTATAGGTTGATATAGAATGTCCAAACTATCTCAAGCGATCTTCTTGCATTTTATCCATGTGTGCCACTTCTCTTCGGGCAAATGTGATCATTTCTAATCCCTATACTTCAAAATAGTATCTTTAAAAAATACTATACTTTATACTTATTTAGAAAAATATTTACAAAAATACCTAATAGCTATGTAGGTTGAAGGTATATAATTTACATGATATATTTGTGTACTACTTGTATTCTACCAACTACCTTCAGGATATACAATTTACACGTTATATATACAATAGTATGATTCAACTATTTATATGTACCTTTCTCCATTGATGTCAATCAGCTCTGCTCATGATTTTATACCGTATGCTACTAATATACAATTTACTGCAACAGGATAATATAACAATATATATAATCCTTCTAGGAGAGGGGTATTCTAACAAACCTTTCTAATTATTTCATTTTAGTAACTTTGGTTCAAACTAAGAGTTTGTATTAAGAAATTCATTGAATATGTACAAATTGTTAATATAGATCTTATTTAGAATCAGAATTTTGACCCCGTAAACTTTAAATTAACTAGATATTGGTGGATAAATAATCTTTTATCTACGTAGATATTTGTGTAAAAAAATCTTTATAAAAAAACTCAAGGTACGTATCTTCTTTACATGTGGAATGAAAACAAGTCACAACATCCAAAATAAAGGATAACACAAGTAGGAAATAAAGGCTGTAAACGTCTCAAATTTCAAATTCAAAAGGGTACAAATTTGAAACATAAAGATACTCCCAAAAATAATTAAAAGTTGGATCTTTCACGAAGATCACGAGAATTCTGAAATTTCACTTATTACCTCTGTATCAAAATAAGGAGAGAAAAAACGGTTGGTCCATATTGACTAGCCACGCTCCTTAAAAAATTTTAATTAGAAATATATTTTACTAAATTAACTTTATTGATAATATTTTGGTACTATAAATTTGACTAATACTATATTTGGTCAGTTTGCTCATTTTATATCATTATTTCATACTTTCTCTAGTTTAATATTAAGTGAATTGTTGGGTATGACATGCCCCTTAAGAAAATAATTATGATATAACTCAAAGACTATTTTTCACTATTACTCTTGATTATTCCCAAATTATTGTGCTAAAAATTGTAAAGTAGTTAAGATCTCATTGAATTAAAGAATAAGTTCCAACAATTCTCTTGAACTTTAATAATTCACTTATTTTGAATTATAAAAAAAGTCACAACAATTTACTTTATATAAACTAGAAGGAATACTAAGGTTAATATGAGAAAAATAATAGAACTCTCTTAATTTGCTAAATTAGACAAGTAAAATGAAATAGAGGGAGTAGCTCCTTAATATAAAAATATAGTAGGAAACAATTACAACTATCCTTTGGTCTTGAATTCTTAAAGCAACACTTTAATTAGAGATACTTTTCTTTTGCTAAGAAAACACTCATTTTAAGACAAAAGAGTACTTATATCATCATTGGATACCCATATATTTTTCACTTTTCTATGAGAAAAAATAACAAACCAGAAAAGAGACTACAAGCTGCAAATGTATACAACTAAGTACTTCTGAAAATGAACCCAATTAATTCAACTAATGTATTCTTTAACTCTGAAGCTATTTGGGCTTTTTACATAGAATGATTTGAATCTCTATCAAATACTACCAAACATCATCTCTAGAATACTAGACTAGTAAATGGAACCAATAACTTCACAATCTATTCAATGGTTCTAAAGCCAAAACATCTACCAATTTCTGACTGTGCTACAAAAAATTGTCAAACTTTTATCTTACTACCAACTAGTAAATTCTTGCATAGGACTGCAAAAATTACTAAAACAAAGTTATGTCCTCCACGCCCTTAAAGCACCGTTGGCCAGCCATCCAAGTTGAGCAAAACCAAGAACACAGTCCATTCGTTCTGGGAACCGTTGGTACTCTCTAAGCTATATGTCCAAGCAGAAGCATAATTCATAACTGTCTTGTATCTTCAAAGAATGAAGCTGGTATTTCCACGAGGGAGGTCAACGTTGACACACATTTGAACTGTAACAAGTAAATGACAAGTCAAGTTAAATAGCTGAATAAATCAAGAATCTACAACAAAATAATCACACTGATCAACTTAGATTAATACCTTATGTTGCTTATATTTGTCCCTCACAGCAACCAAAGAACCACCACGTCTACTTAATTGCAAGTCATGTAGGATAAGAACACATTCTTTCAAGTCTGATGCTTTATATCCCGAATATCGTTGAAGAGCTGCACTCCATGGATGTGCATTTGGTTGTAGTGTAAACCTTGAAAGGAACATAACAGAAGCAGCCACCAAAGAAGGTAAGAATTTCACACAGCTATAATCCATTATGCTTAACTCTGATAGGTAATAGCCCAAGAACTCCAACTGCAAATTGGGGGTTTTATATTCTTCTTGAGCAATCCCAGTAAATCTTCTGAGAAATGTTTTCACAGTGGGATTCCCCATCTCAAATTGGAGCGAGTTTAGCACATCAGCTTCCATCTTCACAACCTCTTCCTTCGTATATGTATTGTCCGTAATGTAACAAAAATCTTCAACATGCGGTGGACTAATCTCCTCATACTTCCTGTATATCACCGGATCAGAATACACTCATTAGCAAAATCATATACATAGCCAAATTTCTCAGGGGATTCAATTCAATGTCAAACTAAGATACTTACGCAGCAATAAGCATCGAGGAAACACCTAAAAGCTGAAGTTTTTGCCTGGTGATGACATTTGTGGATAAGAATCGGTCGAGGTAGGAAACAGTAAGGTATAATGTGTCTGAAAGTAGCTTGTATTCCTCTGAAACTTCCACCAGCCAATCAACCAATATTCCTCTCATGGTTGCACTCACATCCTTTTGAACTTTCTCTAAGTAATCAGGCAAAGGTCTCCTCTTTTCATCAATCTGAACACAAAAATCAACAGCTTTGTCAAACCTCAAGCAGCTAACACCATTATTATAGACCTTAAACTCAGATCCAATAATTCATAACAGTAAGCACAATTGAATTTCCAGTATCCTAACTTTAATTTAAACAAATTCAATCGCAAAATAAGTCAACAACAACATACCCAGCGTAATCACACAAGACATAAAAAACAAAAATCAAGTTCAACAAACAAATAACCATAGCAACAACTACAACATTTAAATCTCAAATTAGTCATCTTGGCTATGTAAATCCCCAGTATCTATTTCACTCCATTTGAACCAATTACATTCAAATACTGTACACTTTTTTTAAATAAGTAAAATATTTAGGTGTTTGGGAGGAGATTACAAGATGGGGAATTGAATGTTCACTAACAAGGTGAAAATCCAAGTACCCAACAAATTAAACTACTAAGATTCTCTAATTCAAATAGTATGTACAATGGAGCAAATTAAAAGAATAAACGAACCTCCATTTTACGAAGGTAATCATATATATCAGAAACATAAGTTGTACACATCTGAGGGTCATCAACATCATCATCAATAGCACTCACTTCCTTCTCATCAACAGTCTTACAAGTCACAACCCTTTTCACCTTCTTCTTAGATTTGGGTTTCTGAATTTTACTCTCCAAACCCTTAATCTGTTTCAAACCCACAATAGAAAAATTCTGAATCTCACCCAAAACAACCCTCTTCTTACTCGGCCTTCGTTGTTCTTGTGGAGCCATACCCTCTGCTGCCCTTTTCTTTGCTAAACGCGTAACTCTACCACAATTTTCTGAATCCGCCATTAATGCACCTCTCCCTTTTCCTCGCTCTTTCTCTTTCAGTTACAAGAAAGAAACGAGAAAAAGAAGAGCAAAGAGTTTGGAGATTGAAGGAAAATGAGAGGTTTATATACCGCCAGATGTTTGAGTTGAGTTTTTTCGAAAATTTTAGAGTGAGCGGGAGGCGTTTTTTTGAAGTTATTTTGGGAAAATGAGATTTGGAGGGTGATGACAAAAGTTCAAACAAAGAAGCAAAGTGTTCCTTTTTTGGTTAAATACAGAGTTGTTTCAGCTTTTGGGGGGCCAAACTGTTTTGAAATTCGAAGTTGGTAAAATTTGGCTAATTTTCATTTTTCCCTCCCTCCCACCCGCTCCCTGACTCTTATATATATATATATATATTCACGGACTTGGTTTCGACTTCGGTATCGAGTGGTCTTTGTTTGAAAGTGTTCATTCCGCAATATGAAATCTTTCTGCATAAATTTAAATTTAATTTGACAGCTTCAATGTGGGTATCGAATATCAGATAAAAAATAAAAAAATAAATAACTCTAATTAATTGCATCGTCGAGGTTTATTTATTGATAAATTCAAAGGAGAAGGGGTAAATATATATCCAACTTTGAAATTTAGAACGAAATCATTATTGTAATATATATATATATATATATATATATACACACACACACCCTCCCTCTCTCCCTAATTATTTGTCCATTTTTTCTTTTTTAGTTGTCTATAATTACTTGTTCATTTTGACAAATCGAGAAAGGACAAAAAAAAAATTCTCTATTATACCCTCAATTTATTACTTTGAAAAATGTAAAACTTTTTGAAAATCTTAAGTTTTTTTAATTCATCCATTTCATAATTAATAGGGGTAAAATGATAAACTCATTATATCAATTATTATTTTCTTAATAGGTGTGTTAATTCAAAAGTGGACAAGTAATTATGGACAAAAGGAGTATATATATATATATATATATATTTGTCGTCTAATAAATAGAGCATATAATCTATTTTATTATGAAATTAACTTTAAAGAATCTTAAAATTGATTTGTGTCACGTGATTTTAATAAATTACCTCACTTTTTTTAGCTCTCCATATCCACTCAACTAAAGAATTTTTTTGTTTTATTCAAATTCGACTCAAACTCATTTTATGATTGAGTAAAAGATGATTGAATTGTTGTTTTTCGGATTGGGTTCAAAGAGGGTTAAAAAAACATGAGCTAATTTTTTAAAGACACGTGACATTTTTAAATTAAGAATTAATTTTGGGATTTTATAAATTAGTAAATATATGTTTGTTAGCAAATGGTATATATGCATTATTATTTTGATAAATGTATACCAATTTCTAAACCACAAAATTGAAGGATATATTTTCCTTTTTTCCTTTAATCTTTAGTTGATAAAATAATGTGAGTTTGGTTCTTTTACCGTATATGTTTTTATTATACTTAGATCTCTTTATCACAATTATTCTTTGTACTTAGTAGTAGACTGGGGATTTTTATTAAGAAAATTCAAAATAAAGAAATAAACACTCAAAGATATCAATAAAATTCAATATTTAATATATATTCAATATAATTTTGCATACACAGTATAATAGTTTTACCAAAGAGTGTTTGGACTAACCCTTTTTGGTACGCTAGCTTTACTGATATTTGTAACAATATTTCACTATAAAGCTTAAAAAAATAACTAATTGTGAAACTGATTTTTTATGGTATATTATATGTTTTTTCTATAATAACATTTTGTTATTGCAATTAAAAATAGTTTAAATAAATCAATAGCGTTATAAAAAGATTTGACAATATAAAAAATATACATGTAATATTGAACTGTTTTTAGAACTATATTACATCTAATAATTTTGATAAATTTCAGAATATCCACAAGTAAAGAGATAAAAAGAAATACATATTTTAATTAATTAAAAATAAATATACTACTCAATTGGAGGAGTAAAATAGAATTCGCCCGTAATTAAGGGACCAATGCTATTAACAATCTAAAACAAAATACCGCGCGCGTTCTTGGAGGCGCGCTAATTTCATTTTTTAATAGGAAAATTGTATGAAATAATAAATTATTAATTTAAATTAAATGTTATAGCCATATTTTTTTTTATTTGTAATTCATAGCAAATATTTCATGTTTTTTGTCATCCCATTTGTATACTGAAATAAACAAATAGACCGAAATATAGAAATGCAAGACCCATTTGTGTACCGAAATATACAAATAGACCGAGACATACAAATGCATGACTATTTGTATACCGAAATATACAAATGCAGGATCCATTTGTATACCAAAATATATAAATGCAGGACCCATTGTATACCGAAATATACAAATGCAGGACCCATTTGTATACCGAAATATACCAATAGACCCAAATACAAATTTTTTATGTATATGTATATCGAAATATACAAATTAATAGTCATAACAAACATAAAGTTTTATGTTTGATATAATTTCAAAAGAAAATGTCAAATACTCCCTCCATTCACTTTACTTGTCGCTTATTCCTAAAATAGATTTTTATTTTTATTTATCATTTTTTACATATCAAGAAAAGATAAAAACAAAATAAAAAATCATGTTTTACCCATAACATTAAATATTTATTTTCCAATTCACTTGCAAAACATCATTTAAAAAGAGGATAGTTTGGTAAAATACCTATATCATTAATTAATTAATTACTTTTTCCCACTGCCTGGACCAAGAAATTTATGATATCTGCGTCAATATCACAAAACTGAAATGCTAAAGGAGTGATTGTCAAAGTGATTTACGAATTACTACGTGAGGAGGCAATATTAGCTTAAGTTTCCTCAGCTTAGAGGAATAGCTTGTGTGCTCGTCAGCTTTAAAAATAAAAAAATAACAATAATAATCTCTGAGTGTTAGCTGAGATAACTGGGGAACATTCTGAAAAGGCACAAGTATATCAGGTCCAATGTATGTAAAAGTCTCTAGATTTGAAGCATCAACTTCTAGCATTTGTTACACCGTGATATTTCCATTACTTCAAACTCGGGAGTGAACCAGGAACTCTAAAACTCTGTAAACATTTGGAACCTGAAACACAGACTTGCTCGAGGCATGGACAATTCGATAGAAAATAATGAATGATCTCATCCTTCACACCCATATTAACATGTCTAAGTGATTTCAGCTGGAAAACTTGTCTCCAGAAGACAATATGTTAATCTCCCATTCTTCTTTTGTTCCAGTAAATAGAGTTATGGGAAAAGACAAGCCCCCAGTCTATAAAGCGGCATAATTTAGTCTGCGTACCGAACAACCTCAAAAGGTTTAATCAATTTTTTCAAGGTTAAAGGTAGTCCTGGCATAGCTGGGGGACTCAATATCATTAGCATTGCGCATTGGAATAAGGCAGCAGCATGCAAATTATTATGGGACCTGGCAACGAAAAAGGATAAATTATGGACTCATGCCTATTATATAAAGGATGGAAGCGTAGCGCTAAGAATGCTTCCTGGATGATCCAGCAAATTCTCAAGGCTAAGCAATACCGCCGAAGATGCATATTTATACATATTGCAATACTTCTGGGCTAGGAGCAATATGTCCTTCCCAGTTAGAGTTTGTTGTTTTGTTCCTTTTCTTTGAGCTGTACATTTCTCTAAATCTTTTAGTTACCAAAAAAAATCAAACTCAACCCATTGATAATAAGAGTGGAAATATGAGACTTAAAAATTAAAGGCAAATATGTAAGTTGAATGACAAAGATAAATATCTAAAAAAAATAGGATAAAGTATAAGTATCCTTTTCAACTATGAACGAAATTTCAACCACATATATTAACTATACATGGATCCTATTACCTTTCTCAATTATAATCACTTACATAAAGAGAGGTATCTTACCCACCCTAAAACCTCTATAATATTAGCACCATATTATTGAATATATTGGTGTTATATCACTTACTCATACTATCAAATATAAAAGACAATGCAAATGCACGAATGCATATAGTATATGCAATAAAGCTAGGGTGCTAGAGTGTATTACATATAACAATTCTTGTTTTTTCTTTGAATATATTTTCAGCCACATCTTGATGTTCTAACACAAGATAAATTTTTACATAAAACGGATTCAATTTCTTAACATAAAGGATTGAAATAACATAGGTTGACATAAATGGGTTAATTTGTAAGCTTAAAAAGTTATTGACATTAAAACGCTATCAATAGTAATATTTTCGGCTTAAAACGTTACCGATAATAACATTTTAAGTCTGTAATTACTCTGTCAGTCCTCTCCTTTTTTGAATAAAATAATACCTAATACGTTTATCCTAGTTTTGTAAAAAAATTAAAAAAATATATTATTTTGATGAATTGATTTAAATAATGTCTTATTTCGGTCAAAATTCCCATGTTACCTTATTTTACTTTTTTTTAATTAATAATTTATTTGCTAATAAAATAAAAATACTCGAGAATTTGACTTACAACAAGCTTTAAAGTATCTGATCGTGTAAAAATGAATTTACACAGTCGGTGTATATTGATTAAACTCTTAAATAAAATAATAAACTTTAACTAAGAATTTTATAAATTTAAATTATAGTTCCACTTCTGTAAGATTTATTTATATTGACAAACATGCTTTCAAGTTATCAAAATGTTTGCCTTTTGTGTTGATACACTACTTTGATTCTTGTAGTAAAAAAATCATTAACAAATATGAAATATCGTAGTTTAATTTAAAGTTATAAAATATTAGACAAAATTATATTGTTGAAAATTGAGATAAATACTTTAAAAGTTGAAAGGGAAATGTTGTGCCTCATTATTTTGCAAAAGCGGAATTTAACATGTAAATTTTTAGAAAAGTAAAAAAGAGAAGAGTCGTCACTAAATTTGACAGGAGTAAATGAGAGCATTCTGTATGGAAGGAGTTGAACAATCATTTATAATCATCATAGACGGATCTAAGATTTTTACATTATGGTGATGCACCACCAAAAATGAAGGGAAAAAAAAATCTAAGTGGGAATTGATAGATACCTTATGGGTTATGGCCTATCCTTTAAGTAAATAACATATTATTTAATCAAGTGTATCATTTATTCTTTCTAAGGTATGTGTGCCAACAATTGAATATCATATAATTCTATAAAATATGTGTATAAAAATATCTAATTCATGAATCCATGGGGTACTATAAGTTATAAAGCTA